CAGCCCTAACCATTCTATGATTCTATGAGGGTTGAGGGGGGAAGCAAATGCCGATCGCCTTGGGGAGACCAATACCGCATCTCAAGCTGGGTTGATGTCAAGAGCGGGGAATTTGTGGAACAACCTCTTCATGGTGGTGCAGACGGTGACCTCCTTGGGGAAGCCAGCACTTTCCCATCGGGTTGGGTTGATATAAAAGCAGGATCCCCAGGACCCCCCTGTTTCACGTCGGAAAGGAATTCCCTCCACTTGGTTCGCCAACATTGACTCAACAGCACTGACTCAACAGTTTGGAGTGTCCGTGGTGACCCGGCCATCTCTGTAGCCCTGATGACTTTGGTGTCATTTTTCTGTTCCCAGCCACCCACCCATTGAACAAAAGCTGTGAAAATCAGGTTTTCTTCACCCTTCTCCCCCAGCTGCAGTGCTCAGCTCCCACAGGTCTTTGAGTTGAAAGATGATGAGTTGGGTCAACGGTTGGATCTACTAGATTAAATCTTGATTAAATCTAAAGGGCAATTAGCTCGGATGGAAAGCAAGTGACTATCCAAGATGTTGGGATTTGGAGGGGCATTGGTGCATTTCTCTGGGTTGTAATGAGTGAGTAATGGAGGATTGGACCCGGCACTGCAAGGAAAGTCATCTTCTCACTTTCTTTCGTCCTCCGTTCCTCTTCCACCTGCCAGTTTCTCTCTTTCTTTTGCCCCTCCAGAGTTTCGCTCCTTTTGAATTGATCAAATACAACATGGAGGAGGACGCACCCATACGTGACAAACGAGGTCTGTGCATCCAAGTCCATCCTGGTAAGAAATGAGCTTTACAAAGGTCTTTTTGGGAGGAAAGGGGGGCAGACGGAGAGTTGAGACACATCAAAGCCACCTCTCGGTCCTTATCACCATCATCTTGGTGGCTGGAAGCCATCAGAAACTCCTCAAACAATGTTATCCCCAAGCACCCAGTGGGACACTGAGGTGGGACATGGAGCACTGAGGCAGTTGCTGACTGACCAGCCTCCAACCCTCTTCTTCCTCCCTGAAGGCGAGACGGGGCTGCTTGTCCCGATCAAAATCACTAAGGACACCCCTTTCCATGGCTACGCGGGCGATTCCCAGAACACAGAGAAGAAGGTCTTGAGGGACATCTTGGTCAAAGGCGATAACTTCTTCAACAGCAATGATGTCCTCATGATTGACCGTGAAAGATTCACCTACTTCCAGGATCGAGTAGGAGACACATTTTGGTAACTCTGATGCTCTCACCCCTACATCTGCGTGGGTGATGCCACCTGCCAGCCCAAATCCCACCTCTCACAGCTTGATCCTTTCTCTTCCCTAGGTGGAAAGGTGAGAACATGGCCATGACAGAGGTGGAGGCCACTCTCGCCATGGTGAACTTCATCCAGGAGGTCAATGTCTATGGAGTGTCCGTGCTGGGTGAGTACTGGGTAGCACAGCACGGAGTGAGTTGGACCAAAAGAAGCATCTACTGATGTTTCAGCCATGGGATGTGTCTCCAAATGGTCTGAGTGACCACCGAGAAGCCTAAAGTAGAATAGAATAGAATAGAATAGAATAGAATAGAATAGAATAGAATGGACATACAACGACCATCTTGTCCCACTGCCTGACCCCTTCCGTGCTGACCAAGTAGGACTCATTGACCCAAAAGAAGAGTCTGGAATTGTTTTGGGTTCATGATTACTGTCACAATAGTCCAAAAAGCCACCAAAAAGAGTAAAGCAGGACTGGGTTGCCCAGAAGAAGCATCCAATGTTGTTTGGGGCAAGTAATATGTCCATGTAACAGTCCAACTGACGACCAAGAAGGCTAAAGTAGGACTTACTGACCCAAAATAAGTTTCTGGCATGGCTTTGGCACACAACATCCTCTTGTAAAGGTCTCAGTGGCCACCAGAAAGGTTAAAGAGGGACTTGGTCATCATAATCAAGCGTTCAGCATTGTTTTGGGCACACATAACACTTTTGTATGTCTTTAACAGATGAGCTGAAGTTACCGTAGATGGAGTCTGGCCTACAGACAAAACATCTCGTCACCTGATCAAAAGCCCTGAATGACTGGCAGAGATGAATTATGAAGGTAGACTGGAATCTGTGTGTCGGAAGCAGGGTGCTCGATTCAAGGAATACCGCCCAAAGACTGGCTCTTGGGTGTTTAAGGTAATGTTTTTGTTCTAAAGTGACTTCCAAGAATATTGAGTAATTTGGAATGAGAAGCTCCTGAGAATTTAAAATTCAAAAGCTTTGCTAAACTTCTGTAAACTGTCTCAAGTCCTTCAACTGTCATGCATGTGTGAGGTGGACAGATACACCGACTCCTTGCTCTGGCCTTTCAGAAATGGATGCCTGCAATCTCTCTTCCAAAGTACGACATATTTGCCCTTCTCATTACACAGGTGCCACACTTTTCCAAGTACAGCTTACAAGATTCGGACGAGGAAGAGGAAGAGCATCCTTCAAAAGTGGACACGAGGAAGTTAAAAAACTGCACCTGTGCCAACCCCAGGGCATCTGCCGCCCCAGCAAATGACCCTAAATGGCAAGCCAATGCCTCCATCTCAGGTAGAATGAGGACAGTGACTAAAAGGGAGTTCATAAAAGGAAAATGGAAGAATAGCTGCTGCCTGGGGAGGAGTTGTTGAAGTAACAAGTAGCCTGGAAGACAAAGAGCAAAACCTTAAACACTTGCATGAACTTAGCAGCTCTTCTGACCTCTTGATGAGTGCTTGCATGTGCTCTCCAAGCTTGCAGCTCACTGAGATGTGGATCATGTGCCAAGGTGCTGCTTGGCGTGTGGCCAGTGTTCATGAAGTGTCCTGTCAGGGGAAGCAGAGGAGGATGTCACCGAAAATCCAGACAGAAACTCCCTAACACAGTTTGCAGTGTCGGACAGTGGCATTGCTTTATTGCGGTGCAGGTGCACAGGGGATGTCTCCTCCTGGCTGCACCCCTGGACAGAAACTTAGTGACACACTGCGGTCATGTGTGTTCATCACATGTTTACATAGTCATTGTTATTCTCTTAAACAATCGATTCATTTTCTCTTGCTTTACATGGAAATTCCTTCCCATGCTCAGTTCTCTCCTCTGCCCCTTTCTTTAGGGTCTGGGGTGTGTTTAGGGCAGGTGGTCCATGAGTCAGTGGTCGCCATCTCCACAGGCCAGAATTGCCTTTTCCCAAGTCACTGCTGCGCATGTTCACAGCTCAGAAAAACATCAGAACAAAGTTTATCCATTCTCTGGGATGTTCCCTTCAAGGGCAGACAGCTCTGGATAAACAATCTCCTTCCTAATCACTTCTGGCAGCTTCAAGGATGGTTATCTTGTTATGTTCCTTAGGTGTGTGCAAACAGCTAGTAAACCCTTCCTGAAATTCTTACAAAAATTTTAACCCCTTTATTGTTGAATAACAGTTCCCCTCTTTGAGACTTATCTGTCGCTCACCAGCCTGGGCTGCGGCACCAAGGACGCTGTTGCACCCTCCACAGCCAGGAGGAAACGGCCTGCCTCTTGTAGGCAGGATCGGTACCTTGAGTTGATTAGTAATTGGTTTCATTATCTCAACTCAGTCCAGCTGGGTAATAATGATTGGTTGCCATAATTCCCCCTTTTTGTTTTACCTTTTTTTTTTTCATGAAGGCTTTAGGGTGAGCAGAGACCCGGCCCATTCATCCAACTCCAGCACGCTTCCCTCCCACGAATATCACATCGGGGCTTGCGGCTTTGCCTTCTTCTCCGAAGGGCTCTCGCTCAGGCTCCTGGCTCCGGCTCTTTTGGCTCAGGCTCTCAGCTCCGGCGAGGGAGTCGGGGCTTCATGGGGTCTCACCAATGTATCACATCGGGGTCACCAGTTGTCACTCACCAGCCTGGGCTGCAGCACCAAGGACACTGTTGCATCCTCCACAGCCAGGAGGAAATGGCCTGCCTCTTGTAGGCAGGGTCGGTACCTTGGGTTGATTAGTAATTGGTTTCATTATCTCAACTCAGTCCAGCTGGGTAATAATGGTTGGTTGCCATACTTATCTAATTTCAATTTTAGATGAGTCTCACCTTTTGTGGCTTTTGTACAACATTTTCACACAACTTATCATCTATAATAAGCAAAGCAACTATTATAAATTAAGAAAATGAATCTTATTCATGCTTCTGAACTATCGAAAGTCCTCTAAACTAACAAAAGTAAATTGTATTCATGCTTCTAGTGTATCTTATTATTTCCATACCTTATTCTCAATTACTCTTCTCATACATCCAGTCCTGATTGCAATGATCATAATTATGAGAAGTAGCAGTATTATTCCTTCTAACAGAGTGGACAGCCACCCTTTGAATGACCATCCCTCTATACTTTGTAAGATTTTGTTGAGCCAATTGCTTTCAACTGAGTCCTTAATAGCTTTACTGTCCTCTGCTACTTGTTTCACCCTTGGAGTTGTCACATTACGACACAAGGTCAGGTCAATAGAGGACAGAGAGGACGCTTACCTTGAGCCTTTTTCAATGTGACCAGTCTACCAGCTTCCCAAGAAAGACGAGACCCTTGTACCTGACCTGCCTGCCCCCCTGGGCAGCCCGCTAAGTCGGAGGGTGTTCGCCTGACGTGTTCAGGGACCCCATGGGCAGCACAATGGGCCAAATCCCTATATCCTCTATATCAATTATGGAGTTTCTGGAAACTTATATTTATAGAAATTTTATTACTGATGCTCGTGACAGGATACAGATTTGAAGACAGCCGGCAGGGTCTGACTGCAAAACCACAACTTGTCAATAGTAATTATAAATAGCTGCGAGGTGTTAGTAACTAAGTCCACATAATGCTTGATATGAGCCAGCAGTGTGCCCAGGTGGCCAAAAAGGCCAATGGGATACTGGCGTGTATCAAGAATAGTGTAACCAGCAGGAA